TTCTCAAAATGACTCCCGTGTTGACTTTTTTTCTCTCATTAAAAATCCCTCTCAAAAAGTGTTTATTATATATCATTGTTTGATATCATCTACTTCAGTCTTTCAGTTCTGTCTAACTCAAAAAACAAGTCTTCTCGTGGTAAATTTCCTCCCTGTTTCTCAGAAATCATTTATTGTTTTTATTGCTTTTTCTTTTTCTGTTGAAATTCTTCTAACAAATTGTGTTCTTTTGTTAAATAGTTCTGGTTCTAGTTTCAATAATAAATCCTGTTTTTCTTCACGATTAACAGTCGAATTCTCGAACGACAACCAACAAACAACCTCAAATCGCCTTGATCAATGGCCGACTCCGTCAAAACCCCTAACCAGAACACCTCACAGAACAAAGAAAATCAAATGGAGAAAATCAACTCCACTATACTGAAGACGGCCTTAGAAGCCATTCCTAAACTCACCGCTGACAACTACACCCTCTGGAAGAACCTCGTCGATAACATGCTCGACATCCAAGGACTCTGTGAAGCGCTCACCACTGAGACCGGCATCCTGACCGACAGCCAAGATGTTCAGCTCCGAACGATCATCACGTCAAAGATCGACTCATCGATCCATCCCAATGTCATCACACATGAGAACGAAAAGAAGGCACGCGACATTTGGAAGTCAATCACCAACTACTTCGCATCCACTCAGCCAGCGAACAGAGCCAGAGTTTTCAACGAACTCTTGGATTTGAACTTCAACAACTCGGACATCCAATCCTTCATCACTTCAGTCCGCTCGATCAACTCTCGGTTGTTTGAGATCGGAATCTACATTCCCCAGGACCTTGTCGCATATATCATTCTGAAGAAACTTCCTCACGCTCTCACCAACGTCAGTCAGCAGATCACCCATTCCGACAAGCCTCTCACCAGTACACTTGTTCTCGATCACTTGAAGCTGTACCTCAACGACCAATCCGCAACAGGAAGTCGAGGATCCGGCACCAGGAACGATCCTATTGTTCTGTACTCTGATGCTTCGAAGAAATGCAAGAAAACAGCCCACAACGTTCTCTCGAATCATCCTGAAGCCAAATGCTGGATGCTTTATCCCCACCTTCGTCCAACTAGCGAAAACAAGGGCAACCGAAATGAATCCATGGTCAGCAGCTTTCACTCGTCCTTCTCACAATCTTCATCTCAATTCATCCTTGACTCAGGATCTTCAGCACACATGACTTCAAATATTGACTTATTTTTTGCTCTCGATCACTCAGAAAAAGGAGTAGTTCACACCAGCTCCGGTAATGACTCTCTTATGATCAAAGGACGAGGATCAATCAAGCTTGTTAATGAATATGGAACCATCATCCTCCATCATGTTCTTTATGTCCCTGATTTAGTTGTCAATCTACTCTCCGTTCGTTGTCTAGTGCTAGAAAACTATCATGTCCAATTTTCAAAAAATTCATTTGCTATCCTCAAAAATGATGAAATAAAAATGAATGGGAATTACATCTGTAATCTTCCAAGTCTATCATTTACAAACATGAATCATCAATCACATTTTTCTTCTGCCGAAAACCTTCACAGGTCACTAGGCCATGTGAGCTATCATCGACTAAGACACAAACTCGGCATTCCCCTCAAAGCAGAAAAAACATGTGAAGCTTGTGCCTTGGGAAAAATCACACGTGCCTCGTTCAAATCCAAACATCCTCCGGCCTCAAAACCATTTGAAGAGCTTCATTTGGACCTGATCGGACCAATCTCTCCCTGTTCAAGAGAAGGGCATAATTACATCTTGACTGTGGTTGATAGCCACACCAGATTCTGCTCAGCCATTCCAATCAAATCAAAAAGTGATGTAGTCGCTGTGTTGTCGGATTCAATTGATCTTGAAGCCAAACGCTTCGGATATTATCCGACTGTGTTACATTCTGATAGAGGAACAGAATTCCTGAACGCCAGTATGAAAGAATTCTGTCATGAACATCTCATTCGATCTCGTACCTCTGATCCATATACCCCACAGCAAAACGGACTAGCCGAGCGACACAACAGGACAATACTGGAATCTCTGAGGACCATTCTCAAAGACTCAGGATTTCCTCTTCGATTCTGGAGCGACGTCGTGAAGGTCAGCACTCTCACGTTGAATCAAATACCTGCTCATAAAAGCAAGAAGTCTCCATTTGAATTGTTCAAGAATCGCTCAATCCCAATTGATTTTTTTCGACCCATTGGCAACAGGGTTTCCTACTTAATCACTTCGCCAAACAACAATTCAAAAGTGATGCCCAAGGGTGAGCTTGGTACTCTCTTAGGATACAATGATGAGATACAATCTTATTGAATCCTAAGTGACAATGGAAAAATGATCGAAACTAAAAGTGTACGCTTTCTTGACCAAATGAAAAACTCCGAAAGCTCGAATGAAGAAGATCTCGAAATAATCGAAGAAATCATTCGTCCATCAGATCTAGACCCACAC